GGCAGGGAAGCAAAGGTTTACACTTTCTCTATCAGAGCAACAATTAAAGGGTCACATTAGCCCGTCTGTCTAAAATGTAATATGTTTTTGAAACACTAAATTATAATGTTTAGCACACGTCTGTGACCAGAGAAACAAACAGATGGAAGCCATTACGTCTGGTTATCATAAGGCAAAAAAACAGCAAATGAACTCTATTTTTCAGAAAACGATATATTTCTTTTTCTGCCATCTGTCATTAAAACATAATTGATTACAGTATGTGTTCAGCGTATACTGGAATTACATATGACACTGAAACCACTGCTGGTTGTTTGCCTGCCTCCACTCAACAAAGGTGAAGGAGCACAAAAACCACAGATAACACAGTAAAAGATTATTTGACAATGCTAACATTTGTTAGCAAGTGTTTTACAAAACTGTGTAGCTTAAATTTAAAATATAGCAAGCTTATTTATGTTAGTACACAAAAATATTAGACAGACAAATTACTATGCTTTTATACTGTACATATTTGTGTGCTGGTTAACATGCTAATATTTGGGAATTCAAAGTAGCTTGGTATAAATGTGTGTTTATTACAACTTGGGTCTTATTTTCACAGTTTTGGCCATCATTGCTAGCACGTATGCAAATATGGTACTAAAATTTACTGCAGAGGTCTGGAAAGATGGCAAAGTTACTACAAGAAAATCCGGCGGTTGGCCATTAAGACAAATAGCTAACAGTTATCTGATTACTGATTACTGAGTTACTGATTATCTAAACCACTTTATTTGGAGTTAAAACCAGTATTGTTAGGAACAATCCACTGCTCAAGTTATCTGTGTTCTGACTTAACTACGGCAAGTCTGATATGACAAATTTGAACTTGGAAGTCAGCCTGTAAACTGTGATGGATGTTAATTACAACTGAGAGTTAGAGTAACACTTTAGCAACAAACTTTAACTATGAGCTCAGTGAGTAGGCTACAGTGTCAAATTGATGGCCAGACATAGGTGAATAAAACCTGAGTCATAATAAACAGAGCTGCATTACTACAATGTTTACATCTCAGCAGTGAAATCAATCACTTATTACCCCACAGCCGTCTCACCAGTTCACAGGGTTGTTCTCCCCACACCACCACAAGGGAATCTGGTGTGAAAATGAAACACACTATGTCACTGTGTTGTCTTCTTTCTCTCCCTACAGAGGCTCAGACTAAACAGGCAGCCTCTAATCGTTATATTTATTTGCTTCAAATGTATAAGTTGTTTGGGAAAAGAAATTGTGTTTCCCCTGCTGCGCTCCGAAGGTTGACCCCAAATCTCTTCTGGGGCTCATCTCTCGCTGCAATCTGTCCAGCCCTGAACTAATCTCTTTGCACCCTCTTCTCCTTTTTATCACCATCAAAAGAGGGATAGCAGAGGCACTCTGTCAGCAGAAGGGGTATGGAGAGCTAGCAGAAAATAGAAAAATAAAAAGCCGGAGTGGCTGGACTGGAAGGAAAGTGGGTTAAGAGGGGCGTGATGGATGAGACTGGGAGCTTTCCTGACTCATGGCCTGCTTTCGCTGGTGACTAATGTGGTCAGTGACATCTCTCTCACTACCCCTCAGCCACCTCCACCGCATCTCTCTATCCCACCTGGGATGCTGGTAACCAGCCCGGGGCGGAGTAGCACACAGGATCTCACTCCACTTAGAAAGTCCGGGTCACCAAGTCCCGGCTTAGACAGCACAGGTTGTGTGGTGCTGAGGTGGGGACTAGAACAGACCTGTGGGGACATGGCCGGGGTCAACCAAAAGCCTGCCTTCCTGTCTTGTTTGCTGCTAAACTTCTGGATGGGATGTGTGCATTGGAACGTAGTCAGATCCCGCGGGAGGACAAGATAAGAGCTGTATATTTATCTTCCTCCCTCGCTTATGTTTTTAAGACTTCTATCACAGACTTTCAATCCATTTTTCTCCAATCTTCCTTTTATATTTGACCTCATTTTTGGGGTTACTTGCATGTTTGAGTGTTTGGCTGATCTGTCAGACTGATGGTGGTCTTTTGGTGCAAAAGGATATTAGCTGGTCGGCGTACCATTGCATTCATATTGTGTGTTTTTTTAATATATATTTTGAATCGCAATGTGCAAATGTTGTCTAAATCAAACATTAAAAAAGCAAATTCAGTTTAAATTTTCATTATCATGCAGTCCATTGTGAAGAGTATAAACTACACAAATTGCAATTACATACATAGCTGCAGATATTGTGACGCACAGTAATGGTAAAAAAGGTCTTGCCTAATGTCATATCTTCTTTCTTTTGTAGAATTTTAATCCCAATAAATGCAGTTTACGTTGTAATGATTGATTATGAACTACATAATTTTAATGTGTGATGATTTGTTTTACTTATTTAGTTTATTATATTATAATACTGTCTTTGTGGCTTGGTACAGAGGGTTTTTTTAAACATACACTTCATTTGCTATGTCTGGACAGTTTCAGTTTTGTGGCAGAATGTGCATTTGTATACATAAATATGGCATAAGTCAATAAAAAACATTTTTCAGTAAACCTATGAAGTACTACAAACACACTGCCCATTTTTTATATTGTTAGACACTTCTTTTAGCAGGAAGCAAAGAAGCCTTTTGTCTTGTAGACAGGTGTTAGGTTAGCAAGCTCACATGCATCTGATGGAGGTCACCTTTGCTCCTGCAGCAGCCTCAGACACATTTCAGGTGTTGTTGAGTGGAATTGATTTTCTGAGGACTGTTGTTGGAGAGTCCAGTATGGCTTTAAAACAATACAGTGGCACACAAATGGATGACGCCTTGACACGGTTAGGCTCTTGTGTGAGTGTGCAAAACAATCTCATACAAAACTATAGAGCCTCATTAGCAAGTCCTGTTTGGAGTGGCAAGTGAGGCGCAATACCAACCAACCCTTCAGTGTCAACCAATCACAGTGACTCTCTTTGATGATACATACCAGTTGGCCACTGAATTGTGCCTTACAGATGGTTGACACGGCCACATAAGGTGCAGCGACACACATACATATAAAGACGCACTCCAGACGCGCACACTGAAGCCTGCTCGTTACTATGATAAGTGTCTGCTCTGCCCCTTGGTTGTTTTCATTTTATTTTCATTGCAAAGAAGACCAGGACCAGCAGCTGCCAGCTACAGATCTGAAGTGTGGTCAGATGTGTCAGCGCATATGTGAGTGTGCGTGCTGCCCAGCTATCAATTCTGTCTGTGTATGTGTGTGTGTGTGCAGCGACTCTTTGATGGAAGATGATACAGTGCATAACGGCCGAGCTGCCCTTTTGAGTAGCCAGTTTATCTGGTACTGTCTGATATATCTCTTTCTACTACTAGAGACGCGTAGACACGCACATATGCTGTATATTACCACGGTGGATTTTTCAGAAGAACCTGAACTTGTGTGCCACACATCGCAAATCTGCTTGCTAGCCACGCTCATCCAAATACAGTGACTAAACTGTGACAGAAATATGTGAATGCTTCATAAACAGTCATGTGAGCTGTGTGGAGCACCTGTTTCTGGATGTGAAATGGGATGACAGATATGTTTCCTCTTCTTTTTGTACTAGTATAGAATGCAAAACTTGCTGAAAATGGCTTCTGCATTTAAATGTTTGAGTTGTGTGTAAAAGGAGATATAGAAACATGGCTTCCCGCAGTACAGGGTTGAGCCTCTTTCCAGCTTTTACCATCTCAGTTCTTCCTCAATGAATTATTTACAGGATCAAGTGTGAGTCAAGGATTTCAAGAGTTAAGCACATGGATAATTATTCTCTTTCTCCTTAAAACGGGCCAAGGAGGGCCCACTCCTTTAGTGACAGTTAATTTACTCACTCTCTATGCTTCACCCTCTGCCCTTAACACTAACAAATATGCATGTCAGAAACATCAAACGACTTTCAGACTGTTCTTGGCAAGGTTTAGAGTAAGACACGGGAAGCTCTGGAGACAAATCACATGTTTCTGGATCACATCCACAGGTGGGGAACACAGTGTGAGCTGAGATCTGGATAGTGTTGTGTCTGTGTGTGCATGATAGTGTTGTGTCTGTGTGTGCATGATAGTGTTGTGTCTGTGTGTGTGTGTGTGTGATAGTGTTGTGTCTGTGTGTGCCTGCCTGCCTGCAACCATCTGATACAATCTCACACCTCAGCATGAACTTGGCCTGACCTGAGCGCTGGCAGAGGACAAGCATCTTAAAATATGCTTACCCCACCCCCTTTACTGCCACCATCGCTCACATGGGCTTGCACACACAAACACAATCAAAACTGTTTTGATGCTTTGATTGCGTCGCACTGGTACCCGTGCAAGGCTGACTTATCCTCAAGTACCTTTATGCATTTGACCCCATGAAACCCTGCCACAAACCACCAGCAGACGTGTAAAGCTGACCTCTGTCCTGGTTGTCCCTTCATGGCAAAATCAATAAAGACAATTAGTTACCCATTTCTCCAGCAATGTTGTTTAAAATCCCAGTAGTACAAACCCCATTTAAATGTCCAAAGATATATATGGGCTACAATCTTGCCAAAAGAAAAAAGATATCTATGAGTATTTAGGTCACATTACAATCACTATCCTACAGCCTTAATGCGCATTATCTCCTATTTACCATCTCATATGACCAAATGAGCTCCTTTAAACAGTTAATTAGATTGACTGAAGTAGGAGAAGGCTTGAAACTGTGAACTATAGCATCTTGGCTATAATGCTACAGACGTTAGAGTAAAAAAAAAATTGAAAAGCAACTATTCACCCATTCTAGTGCACATTGCCTCTACAATAGACCTATATACATTGAAACAATAGAAAAAAATGAAATGACTGCGCCCAGTTTGAGCCATGCTCCTCTTATCACCCATCAATTTGCTATTAATTGCATTATTCACCAATATGTCAGCCCGCTGTCACTGTCCTGTGCGGAAAATGAGCACTGGGACCGGCAATTAAAAAGGAATTAAGAGCACTTACCACTTACAGCGAGGAGCGGCGAAGGCAAGGTGCGGGGTCGGAAGTTGTCAAATAATTGTTTGCTTCTGTCGTATCTGTAAGAAGGTCATCGTTTTGGGTTTTATTTTCTGCTGTGCTGATGTGCTGACGGCGGTATCACTCTGGACGGTTTCTCCGCTCAGTGCTGCTGGTCACTCGGCATCCAAGGCGCGGTGAGAGGCGTGCTGTTGTGGCGAGAGGAGAGGAGAGGGTGTGGGGGGAGGGGGGGGGCTTTCAGCGGCATGGCAAACAGCGACCACGTGTGGCCTCGTGAGGGATAGGCTAATAAACACTAGCTCTGTCCTGTAGGCTAAGGAAAAAATTAATTAATCAATAAAAAAACAGGCCAACACATGATTGTAATACTGAAGATGTTGCCTATCTCTTTGACGGAGAGGAAAGAAGGCTATATTCCAAGCAAGCGTGGCATAACCTTTAGTGTAAACTGACCCCAAACCTTTTTTCTTGTATCATTTGGGGGACTGGGACAGGACCTTTGGGTGATGGAGACAGCACATGTTATCATTGATTTATTGCAAAATTTAATAATTTCACACTGTTCTTGTCCTGTTGTTCATTATGAATTGACTCCATGTGCATTTCTCTTAAACTTCAGGAAGGTTTAAAGGGCCTATATGTAGTTTTCAGTGGCCACTAGCGGTGCAGTTTTTAGATTGCAACCAGGTGTGCTAGTACGCCTGCTCAAACTCATGAGCGAGCATAATCCGACACACAGACGCTGACACACCGGGTGACAGCTTCACAGAAAATGCTGTAAACTCTAGTAAACTCCCACTGCAATGTAACTATTATATTTTGATCAGCTTTAGGTTGAACTAATCCATTCTCACATTGACTGCATTCAGCCGACGTGATATGTCTGCATTAGCTCGCCTGACGCTTTTCAGTAACTAATGCTATTTGAGTATCTTTCACCAGAGAGGCTCAGCAATGTCAGCACAGCTAAATATATTGGATCATAACGAAAACAGTAAGTGAACTAGACTTAATATAATAAATGAGATTGTGAAATGTATATGTGCTGCGCAGCAAGTAACGTTACTGTAGTGAATGGATGTTCCACTGTGTTGTTGTCCTGCGCCGTTATGTTGCATTATTGTATATTATTTAGGTTAAATTACGCTAGTATAAACACATCGCTCCACATTTGCTTGGTACCCTTATATTATTTCTTGCAGGGTAAGATCAACACTTTGACACAATCCTGGCGGTACACAGGATAGTAATAAGGATCGCCTTATCTGGTGAAGTAATGTTAATGTGGCAAGCCATACAACTGTAGTATTTTGCAACAGATAACGTTAGCGTCCCGGCGTTAGCCAGCAAGCTAACATTATCTAGCTTGAGCCAACTAAAGCACAAAATCACAAAGTATTTGCTTTGCAGTAATGTTAGTTTGTCGGTTTCAAAACAAAGCGGAGGTCTCTGTGACTCATACATCTTCACGGATTATTATTATTATGATTCACGGACTTCAGCACATAAAACTTAATTGTTGTTTTTTATCCTTACATGGAGTTTGTGTTGGAGTCTGTGTCTGCACTGGGATTTCATGGTGTTGTTACAGCTGGCTCAAAACCACGACAAAAAAGAATAGTATGATAAACAACAAAACTGCAGCAAAGGTACCATTACTTTTATTTTTACACAAACAGAAACAACTTAATGTACAAATAATCATATGAAGTGTGACAATCAGTAGGTCAGTCATGTAAGCAGGTATGCATGCTTGAAGGAATAGTGAGTGGAGTGTTGTGTGGTGAAAGAAACCCAGGTGGCTCCAATAACTGATGATCTTAACCACACCTACTGGCATCTGCAACATAGAACACAAAGAGATAGACATCCCAGCAGCTGAAAGAGATGGGGACGTCACAGTGTCAATAGCTGTGGTGTTGTTGATGTAGTAGGCAAGCGGCTTGGGAGCGTGCATGCAGAAAACCCGACCCAATTTCTTCACATAAGAAGCAGAATAGTGTCTTTTCCAAGCAACAGTGAAAACAGGTGTGCTGTTCATTTTAACCTGTTGACAAATAGGCAGTAAAAAAGTGATTTAATGATAAGTGATTTCTTAGAAAACCTCATGTAGCCCCTTTAAAAATCTGGCCAAGAATCTTGAGTCTGCACTATGTCACTCTACTTTTCAATGGCTCACTTCATGCTGTCCTCACAACACTTGTTGTATTTTTTCTTGCTGTTTGTTCTTTCCCTGTGCTGTCCCTTTTGCTGTCTTCCTATATCTCACGTGTGCCATTCTACTCTGCAATAGATAGATAGATAGGGTTAGCGATGGGTTAAGAGGTCAAGGCTGTCTAGTCCAGCTGGCAAAAACAGCCAAAAAATATCTAGCAAACTCCAGCTAGTCCATGGAAATCTTTGTGGTTGATTATGGGTCCACACATAAAGAGGTTGGGAACCACTCATCTAGACCATACAGAGTGTACACAATGGTTCTCTATTGCATTGTTGGTTGGTCATTTTCTTAATTAGCAAAGCCTTTTAGCACTGTCCCCATCAACCGAAATCAACAAAAAACAATACAAACAACCTAATTCCAAAAATAGAAACATGACATTAAAACACTCTTACTGATTTTGTTGCAGTAGCACATCATATTCATGTTTACATCAAAGGTTTGTGCAATGTATTGGCTATGACTATTTTATGACCTTGTGATGAAAACTAGCTAAAGCAATGTCATTCATTTTCCTCAGTTCACATGTTGCAGGGTCAACTTTTTGTTTGATGCTTGCCCTGCCCACCTATGTAATGTCACATCAGAGAGGGCATGCAGTTTTGATTAAGTGGTTTCACAGCTAGGACTCAGAAAAAAAAGTTTTTATTTTAAGTCATCGGGCGAGAAAATCAACCATGTATAGTTATGCTGTCCAATTTGACCTTTCGTCCCTGCGTCGGAAAGAGAGAGATCAAAATGGCAAGTTGCCATGACTTGGTTCACCTCCCCACTATCATGTCACCTTAATAAATGAAGGACAACATATTCAAGCTAAACAATTTTTAGATGAGATCAAAAGCCTACCACCCTCACATCTAAATAAACCTATAAAGCTACAGATAGCAGTAGTTCGCTTAGCTTAGCATGATGACTGGAAGTAGAGGCTAGCAAAATCCACCTATCAGCACCTGTGAAGCCTCTAAAGCTCATAAATTAATAGTTAACATTAAAGCGTCTATAATCAATGGATTATTCTATAATAACAATTTGTCAAATGACAATGTAAAAACAATGCGAAAGGGATAGCTTATAGTGTGGAACTGCTAACAATCAGTAATCACCTGAATCTGCAGTTCAGCTTCACTGAGCTTTATAGTGAGTTTCAAGTCATTGTTCAGCTGTCCGGCCCACAACTTAATTTTTTGGGTTCACTCTCACTGTCTGTGTAATTTTCAGCCACAGCAGCACCTGTTTTCAGCAAAATAACTCTAAAAACTAACTGTACACTACTTGCTGCCGCCAGCACTGACATCCTGGAGGTATAGCTGTCATAGTTTGGGGTTTTCAGGTATTATTTGGGGGGTTTGTTGGAGTTCTATGTCTATTCAGCCTGTGTTTCTGTTTCCTGTTTTAGTCTGAAGTTGTCTGCCTTTGCTGTCATTGTCTAGTTTTGCTTCCCATTTTGTTTCATTACCTTGAACACCTGTTTTGTGTCCCTACTCTGCTCGTTTGCTTGAGTATTTCAATGCCTGTGTTCTGTTCAGTCTTTGTTGGTTCATTTTTGCATGTAGTCTGTGTTGCTCTGTTGTCTGTTTGCTCCTGCATCGTGTTCCAGCGGTACCTTGCGTTTGTTTTTATGACCTCTGTTTCATCTACGTACTTTGGATTCTATTTGAACTCCACAGTTTGTAAGTGTGCTCTCCTTTTGTTAATAAATCATTGGACTATATCTGCTCAGCTCTGGTGTCCTGTGTTTGGGTTCTCAACCTGCTCCATCGTTACATCCATCCATCCATCAACAACCACTTATCCTGCGTACAGGGTCGCGGGGGCTGGAGCCAATCCCAGCTGACATCGGACAAAAGGCATGGGTACACCCTGGACAGGTCGCCAATCCATCGCAGGGCCACACATAGACAAACAACCAGTCTCCATCATTACAACACATGAAAATTCATGACAATAGCTTCATATCCAATGGACAGATATGAGAGTGGTATGGATTGCTTATCTATAGTACATCTCAACAAGAACACAAATAAGCGTTTAGGGGGGGAAAATTCAAAATCCTTTAAGTTGTTTTTTATTTCAGATGATGCTCTGTTTTAGTGAGCATATAAACTTGGAGTTAATGAAATCACCCCAACCCAAGGGCATAGAATTGCTTTCTGCATGCTGAGACCACCTGCAATCTAAATATTCGACTTCAAATATGACTTGTTGTCTGAGGCGCACACGCTCACCTCTACAAAAAACACTTTAATTTTGATAGGCTCTTGGTTTTATGTAGTGCAGATTTGCATAACCTAGACATAAAAGTTGGCTGCAAGTTAGATACCTGCCATCAGCAGCAGGAACGTGTGTCTGTAGTCTCCCACCGCGCACAGCATGGGGACCATCATTAATTTAAGTCTTCCCGCACAGTTGTTGTTAACTGACCTGTGCTTTTACGGATAGCAGATCTCCAAACCTCTTTTCATCTGCATGATTAAAATTAGATCTGTGTCAGTTGTATTACTGCAGGGTAACTGAATGCAACCTCTTTAATCAACTAATTAAAAATGGCAAACAGACATTAATAATGAAAACACGTTAACTTAGTAGTAGTAGTAGTAGTAGTATATTTTTAAGTGGGCAATTATTCACTTCACAAATTCATAAATAAATTTACTTTTATAACCTCGACATATGAAATGTCAAAGTGACAAAATATAGGCTACATCACACAGTCTCAGAGTCCAAGGTGACATCTTCCAAGTCTTTCAAGTCCAAGGTCTTCAGTTCACATCTAAAACAAAGAAAATCAATGTTTTGCAGCTGTTGAAGTGAGAAAAAAAAGGCCTCCTGTGGTTTACGCCATAAGAGAACACCTGCTGACTAATAGGCATCCTCTGTTTGCTGGATGACCGCTATGGTAAAACATTAAACCACATGTTGCTCTATATCATGATTAAATACAGCATAATATAAGCTGAATTATAAATA